ATATAAATATGAGTCATCATGCTTTGAATAGGGATGACGGCGCCTATTTGCCAGAGGAATATATGCATCTTCTTGGCAGGTGACGTCATCCCTTGGGTATTTAAGAAGCCACGATCGCAGTTTTAGATCATCCCTGATAAAGACACTAGACTGGAGTGTCGAAACGTTGGGTCTTGATTAGAATTCGACTGGGCTTTGTAATAATTTATTTAAACCAGAGTAGCGAGCGAAACATGATTGATATACCTGGTTGCAGTGAACGAACAAACTTTATAACATAAACTTTGTACGAGGGAAATGATTTCATGCAATAGACCTTATGTATAATGTTGATGCCCGCGAGGAATGCTGGTCTTAGTAGTCATCGCCCGGGAAAATTTCGATAGTGGCCATTTTTAATTGTTTAATTTTCCCGGGCGATGACTACCAAGACCAGCATTCTTCGCGGGCATCAAGCCTTGTGACGTGTTATGCATAAGGTTTATTCTCTTACCTCAAGACGGGTTGCTGTGTTTTCCAAGATTTTACTTTGACTGAGCACTCTCTTTTTAAGTAATGTGATTTCTTTACGCAATTCGTCGTTCTGAAATTTTAGAAAATTATTGAAAATAGGGTTATTTCACGACAATCCAACCTTAATTGAAAGTCATTAAATAATGTATTTTCATCGCATAAAATAATCTTTTAATCGGCGTAATAAATTACATGTAGGTATGTTAGGATATGCACAGCACAATACCTGTCTTGTTAATCTATCTGCAGATGTAGGTCCGGACGAAAGATGCTCAGCCCACAAATGATCCAACACCTTGACACTTTTAAACAATAATGTCCGCAAGGATTCCAACTCTTTCTTTAACTCGTCAAGCTATAAGCAAAAAAGGAATCGCTGCAAATACCAACAAATACCTTGAGACATCAACATATCACGACTTATAAAAGCATTCATGCTAATATAACAGATTTTACTGTTTATTGCACTTTTGCCCCAATGACCTCGTTTCCACATTTGCCTGTTTTAGCGTGGCAGGCACACATGAAGATTATATTTCCATGTTTCGTGCATATCCTTGCCCCTATTGTACACGAGGGAATAACCACACGAATGCGAGGACGTCACATGAAAGCGAGGATGTCACATGAAAGCGAGGACACCACATGAGAACGAGGATATCACATGAAAGCGAGGACACCACATGAACGCGAGGATATCACATGAAAGCAAGGACATTGGGACAAGAGTGTAATAAACCACTCATGTTCTGGTGCTTAATTTCTTCTTACGAGTATGAGCCGGGCAAGCAGAGAATTCGACTTGACCACGGCTGGGAATCGAATCCAATAAACAGTAGTCTATTGGTGGCATGGCTCAAGAGGCTACTATATAACTCCAAATTTAAACTAAAATTAAGAATTCTGAAATTACAGGCCAATTCCAAAACACATGCGGAGGCAGTGGTCGTGGAGCTAGATATAACTCAAAAAATCCTTGGGTGATTAGTCGCTGGTTATCCCATTATTTTCTCCACTCTGCAGCCATGAAGGCTTTATTTAAGCAAATTTTATTTAGGTTTGAGGCATTAGAGTAGTACATTTTGCAAAAGACATGCGTACAAACATTCGCAAATCAAATTCTCCCAAACCCAAACACCCTATTCTCCGATCCGAGTTTGACGCCATCAAGTTTTCATCTCACTATCTACAGATCTTTGCCAAAACTGAACCTCAGAATTGAAATTGCCATGCTCAAATTAGTGTATACTGAAAATTTCACGACGTTTGGACATTCATGGCGCGAGTTAATTAAGTCGTTTTGAAAATTTTATATGTCCTAAACTTTTGGAATTTGCCGCTGGAACCCTCTCCTGCCAAAAAAGCTTCATATGTCCTTGGAACACATCTCATCATACCAGAGTATAAGGATCCGTTCTCGCTTTAACAGTTTCCAAACCACGGCGACGCTACTCGTGACCAGGCCTTTTACTTACTTTACCACTGGAGTCGTGTTCCTCCAAGGTTATTCTCATTATTTTCACCAACAGAGATTCGGCATTTTGAAAACTGGAGTTGATGTACTGTCGAAGATCTTGAAGATTTTGAGATTCCAAGTTTAAACTTCTGTTCTTGTCGCTTGGCGAGTTCGCTGTGGCAGTGGACCGATCTAAAACTGTAAGGAAAATAAACCTTAAACATCATATTCACGAATCGAATCAGTATTTGTAATAGTGCAAGTGATAACAAATGTCAGCTACGGCGTAGAAAGGGATCATAATACATCAATCTGGACTAACATCGGGAACAATTCGCTACTCGACCAGTTTCTCACCAATGAGGTTTTGTGATTATGATTTCGACTGTTTTGTCACATGTGCGATGGATGATTCTAGTTAGTCTCACCGGACCTCCTGTTCGAACGCTGGACCACAAAAGGCTGCTTTCCAGTTAAGCGTTTTTCATACGTACGTATACGCAAAGTCTTTTATGAAATAATTAAAT